ATATCTTCCTTGGTCTTGGTCTCCCAAAACCACATTGTTGAAAAGTTGTGTTTTAAAACACACATATATCAATTTCAACAGCAGATACTTATGTTAAGCCTCCAGGAGGTGTAATTAAGCTATTTTCTTGGTATTGATAAAAATACAGCCCAAATTCTAAAATATTTATTTAAAAGTAGGCCAAAATTTTACCTCATCCCAAAACCTGATAATATCATACTACTGGTGACGTAAGTCTATTTTATCCAGAGAGAAATAGCTGGCCATCATCTAGAGTTGATTACTGTTGTGGCCCAGCAGGNATTGTTACAGTTTTGAATTTTACTGTTACTATTTTCTTTCCGTCATGCAAACTGCCTAGTTACATGACCCCCCCAGCCACGTCCACCAAGCCACGCCCACAGAAGCGGTAGTAAAAAATTGAATTCCACCACTGGGTGGGGGGTACTGAGGATCAATTTGTAGCACCAAGGGGGCAGTGGACTAAAAATGTTTGGGAATCACTGGATTAAACTCTTGAGCCTAGCTGAAAATGAAGATTACTTATAAGAGCAGATCCCTTAATGTTAGAAAGGAAGACCAAATATTTCATAGTCATCCTTGGCAATCATTAAACTGTAGTTAGAGAGATATTTTGAAGACATATTAGAATTTTCTGAGCATTTTTCCCATTGAACTCTTTACAGGTAGAAAACTGAACATGTACAGAGATTTGTCCTCACCAGTAAATCCAGACAAAGGCATGTGGGGGGAAATGTTCTTTTACTTGAGCCATTTGAAAGCCCTTTCTTCTGAATTTAATTTTGTCCAATTTATTCTTACAGTAGATTCAAAGACACTCTCACACAGTATTTATGACTATACATTTTCACATAAACCTCTGAGCTATCCAGTAACAATTCAGTTTTACTTTTTATATGCTTAGAGGCTACTTGGTTTATCCAAAACAGATCCCTTGGCCTACACAAGAGATTGCCAGTCTAGTATCTGCTGAGAGGAAGATATACGTGGATCTCTTTGGTGGCCCAACATATTTGCTCTTTATAGGTTTAGACTTCAATTTACCACAGAATTATTAGAGATGGTATAGTAGAGGAAATTATCCAGTTACAGATATCTATGTAATGGCCTTTGGGCCATTCATGAACTCCACAAATATTCCTTAATATAAAAATAGTGGATGACTGCAATTCTTTGCTTTCTTTGAAAGCACATTACTTGTCAAAAAAGATAATTTGATATAAAAAAACATGCTCAATGCCAGGGAACACTACCCATTTTTTTTTTTAATTTTCCCTAAAACGCTTTTAAAATGTGCCTATCCTTGAATTTTTCTCAATTCCAGTTGGCTATTTAATACTAATTTATTGTTACATTTTATATACTTCTACTTTGTTGCATGTTATTCTATATTTAATGTAATTTTTAAAAACAAACTGAGATCCATTATATCACAGGCAATGTATAAATATTTTAAATTGGCATTAATACAATTTTGCTGGTATTGGGCAACTTTTGGATACTTATTCTCCCATAACAACAGAATAAACTATATCACTTTTACTGTTCATTTTGATGAGAGTGGTACTGTTTTATCATTCTGCAAAAATCCTGCTTTCATCATTCAAATCTATGGACAATTCATCACACCTCTCCATATTTTGCAGACTGAAAAAAAATATTACCAGGCTCATTACAAATAAAATAACAAGGTCTAAAGAATCAATCAATCAGAATAAGGCTAGAAGGGATCTTCTATGTCTTTTAGTACAACCCCCTGCTCAAACAAGAGACCCTATATCATTTCAGACAACTGATTGCCCAGTCTGTTCTTAAACATCTCCAGTGATGAAGCACCCACAACTTCTGACAGTAAGCGGTTCCACTGGTTAATTATTCTCACTATTAGCAAGTTTCTCCTTAATTCTTGCGTGCTTCTGTCCTTGATTAGTTTCCATACATTATTTCTTGTCTTGCCTTCTGGTGCTTTGGAAAATAAGATGACCACCTCCTCTTTGTAGCAACTTCTCAAATACTGAAATACTGCTATTATGTCCCTCCTGTTCCTTCTTTTCTCTAGACTAGCCAAACTCAAATCTTGCAACCATTTTTCATATGCTTTTGTCTCCAGGCCTTTAATCATTTTATTTGCTCTTCTTTGCACTTTCTCCAAAGTTTCAAAATCTTTTTGTAATATGGTGACCAAAACTGGTTACAGTAACCCAGGTGTGGCCTTACTAATGCTTTATAAAGCAGTGCTAATACTTTTCATGATTTTGATTCTATGCTTCTGTTTATACAACCATGGATTTTATTAGCTTTTTTTTGGCTGCTGCTGCACACTGCTGGTTCATATTTAAGTGATTGTCCACTAGGAATCCAAGGTCTCTCTTACAGTTACTGTTTTTGAGTCAAGTTTTACCCAGTCTGTACTCATACCTTTGAGTTTTCCTACCTACATGTAAAACTTTGCTTTTCTCCACATTAAATTTCATTTTGTTGGCTAGATCCTATTGTTGAACTCTATCAAGATCTTTTTGGATCCTGAGCTTGTCTTCTGTTCACTATTCCTGTCAGCTTCATATTACCTGCAAATTTGATGAGTTCCTCTTCTATTCCCTCATCTAAGTCATTTTTGAACATATTGAAGAATACTGGGCCAAGACAGAAGCGTTTGGTACCCCACTGCTTACTTCCCTCCATGTAGATGTACTACCATTAAGGATGACTCATTGAGTATGGTTTGTCAGCCAGTTACAAATCCATCTGCTGGTGCTGTTGCTATCCCATATTTTTCTAACTTACCAAAATGTAAATTATGGTCTACTTTGTTGAATGGCTTTCTGAAGTATAAATATACTATGTCCACAGTATTTTGCTGGTCTACTAATTTAGACACTTTGTCAAAGAATGAAATAAGGCTTTTAGTTATAACTTTGTTTCTAGATGTTCGCAGATCTGTTTTTTGATTATCTTTTCCAGTATCTTTTCAGGTATTGACATTAGGATGATTGGTCTGTAGTTTCCTGAGTCTGTTTTTTCTTTCCTTTTTTGAAGATGGAAACCACATCAGCTCTTTTCCAATCCACAGGTAATTCCCCATTTTTGGATCCTGAGCTTGTCTTCTGAGGTATTAACTATTCCTGCATATCCTTCAGGATTTTTGAAAGATATGATACAATAACAAAAAAACTTTGAAAATTCTCCCCTAGTAGAACATCATTCATTATAACATCCATATAGTCTTCTAGGGAAGGCTTTCAATGTCCCTCTAAGTTTATTTAGACTCTTATTATTCCTGGCCTCCAAAGAGATTATTTACCCAAGCACCCAACTGGGCAATTTTTTCCAGTATCCCTTAAAATCCCTAACCCAGCTGAGTTCAGAGGGCTTCTGTGTGCTACAATCAATTTGGTCACTTATTCAACTTTTAAAAATGTTCTTTCTGAAGAGTGAGGGAAAAAAGGTTTTATATGTTAGTTCAATATTTGCATATGGTCAGATGCAAGAGGAGAGTCAGAGAATGGTATAGTACAGTTTTAAAACAGGATAGTGATTGATACTTCAGCTTAAAAAGAAAGATTCTTCAGGTTAGTTGGCTTGCTCAGCAAATGTCCTGACAGCCCTTGTCCACTAAAGGATCCATTAAAATGGATAAAATAGAGCTAGATTAAAAAAGCATTAAAGATATAGATGTGTCCCAATTGGTGCAATTAATAAATCCTATGAAATGGTCACATTATTCAATTCACATTATTCAAAGTGATATTTCTATAGAAAATAAGGTAATTAGTTGCAGCTGAACAGAAATAGGCAATTAAAATTGTAATTATAATCATTTATATGCATGTGAATAAAATATTAAAATAAGGGATAAAAATAATCAACAATTTACAGTACACAAGTCAAGAATAGTTATGGAAAGCAAAAGAAAAAAATGTTTTACCATAGATTCAGGCATTCCAACATCTGCTCTTATTATAGCATTCATGTTCAATTACATTTTTTGCTTTTATATAATAACAAGCCTATTCTTTTTAAAATCTGTATAGTTTTCCTCTGATGGACTCTTCTTTTTCTTCATTCTGCACACACAAGAATTAGCAGAATCTAAAACCCCAATCTTGACTACATATATATGAATCTCACAGAAACTTAATTTTAGGTTGCATTAAAAACAGCCTGGTCTCAATTTACAATTCACACTGTTAAATATCACATTATTTGAACTCATACTAATCATAATCTAACTTTACAGTATTAATGTGTACCCTTAGTACAAAGGCAGTGGTGAGTTTCAAAATTTTTTAGAACCCATTCTGTAGATGCGGCCTGTTTTGTGGGAGTAGCTTGGCGGTCGTGTTACTGGGTGGGTGTGGCCAAGCTGGAAAATGTGGTGAAACTCACTTAACAACGCTCTTGCTTAGCAACCAAAATTTTGGGCTCAATTGTGATCATAAGTTCTCTTTCTTTTTCTTTCTTTCTTTCTTTCTTTCTTTCTTTCTTTCTTNAGTAAAGGCAGGTGAGCGAATACTTTTGGCAATATAGTGTATTTCATTAAGTAAACACAAGAAGGAACAGTTCCAGTGGTGGGATTCAAATAATTTAACAACTGGTTCACCCAGGGTCAGGTTGACTTTCGTGGGAGGCATAGCCCATCCTCATCCTCCAGCTCCACCGCACATGCAGGACGAGCCTCCCGTGATACCAATCTGACCCTGGGTGACCTGGTGGTTAAATTTCTACCCTTTGCCAAAAGGGTGCTTGTCTGCATGTTGGTCTCACAGCTATTTCAGCCTTCTGGATGACTCCTTTAAAAGGCAAGGTTTCTGAGGAATGAGGAGGGGGTTACCATAGAAATAAGGAGTTGATGCTCCCAAGATCTCATGTGGGCAGGTGAAGAATTGGGAGGAAGAGGAGGGAGGGATTCCCCCCCTCTCCATGGAGTTATTTGCAAGGGGAATTGATCAGTCTGCGGGCAAAAGTGAGAGGGGCAAGGAATTAAGTTGGCAGCATGATTGAAGCTGGGCCCAATGTAGGGGAGACTGCGGGGTTAGTTTGGCCAAGCAAATTATCCCCTCCGCCTTGCTATCAAAGTGAATCCTGGGCACTGCACTGAAATGGAGAAACAAGCAATGGAGCAGCCGGCACAAAGAAAGGAGGAGGAGCAGGGAGAAGAAAGAAGGAAAGCAGCCTCCATTGCCCATACTTCCATTGCAGCCCAATGCCCAGGATCCACTTTGATAGCGGAGGGGTGTAATGTAACACCCACCTGAATGGGTGCGAACTGCCTGAATCCCACCACTGAACAGTTCTGCAAATTCTTATTCAGTTTTTTTAAAAGATGCTATATAAGTCTGCATTTTATCCATCCATTCATCTGCAGAAGTGTGATCTGCATGAACTTCCCCATTTCCTGGAGATGTCTTTATTTTACTGACCTGTAAAAGCTCCTCCTACCATAGCAATTGCAACAGAGCAGCCTAGAGCAGCAGCCTGCATCCCAACAGATATACTGTAAAGAGAACAAATGAACTTTGTGTCATCTGGAGACCTCATGAAGACTTCTTTGATAGCTATGTCTGGTTGTTCAGATGTATGTGTACACACAAAAATCGGTTCCACCACAAATCCGCGAAGCCCTTATCCGCGGAGACATAAGCGCGAAGACTAATTCACGCCGTTCTAAGCGCTAAGGA